AGTAAATAGTTATTTTCATAATCTTTATTTGCTTTAAAGAATGAAACCGGTAAAATCCGAGCTGACAGCAAGCTAGACATAAACCTGGAAAGGAGCAGAGTGACGGATATGGTAAGCTGGTCTGTGAAGACAGCCCTTATCAGTTCTGTGTCTTGTTTTCCATCACTACAATTGTAATTTATCTTTTATCCACAGTTTACAGATCAGGAGAGGAAACTGATGGAAGCAACTACAGAGTTTCATAAAAAAGTAAGTATTGAACAAAGCTCATTTAGGAGGTGCTGGCATATCAGGGACTAAAGTCTGTATGACCTGAGTTTTCTCTTTTTCTCTCTCCCTCTTTAATATTCTTCCTGGATCATATTAAATGCTGTTCTGTGTCTTCTACGGTCTCTTACCAGTTACATATTTTACTTCAGTGATAGGTTGGAAATTTGTTTCTCTTTCTCGTTGCTGGTAGCATGGTATTCTTGTTTGGCTTTGCAAAGCTGAAAGGGCTGGAGGACATTGTCAAATGTATGCTGTCTTCTAATGTTGCAGGATTCCAGTACCAACAGTGTTATCTCAGAAATCAGTAACAAAATTGACACTGAAATAGCTTCCTTAAAAACGCTTATGGAATCGAATAAACTCGATACAATACGTTATTTGGCAGGTATGTCACAGGCGAGGAGGTGAGTACCAGTATTGTATTTTGGATGTATAAAATTTCATTCAAGAGTACATGCAAAGCGAGTTCAGGAAGTCAGTTGTGTAGCAGCAGATAACTGGGATTGGGGGGACGGGACCCTGCCCACTTGAAAGAAGTGCGACAGAGAACACAGAGGAGGTGGGGACACGCAGACGCTGCTGCAGCTGGACTAGGACTGCGCCCAGAACTGCGGTTAGGAGGAACACGGACATGATTTTTTAATGTTTTTTTTAAAGAGCAGGAAAGAAGCCTAAATACCTTGTCTAGTGGGACAGTACCTCTGCTGGCTGCGGGGCAGCCATTTATGTGGCAGAGTTGCTCCAACAGTTCTCCTGAGCTTATTTAAGTTACTCTGCGAGTTGCTGGTATTCAGGACTAGTCTGAGTTACCCGTTCTGCCTCCCACTCAGTCCTCCACAGACACATAGTTTCAGTGTGGCAGTACTGGTACTTCACCCTGCCAAGCAGAACACGTTTCAGTCTGATTTGAGATTGTCTTCTCAATATATACATGACCAGTGAAATTTTTATTGTAGTGGAGCTGGATAAAAAGAGAGTACCGCACCGAGTTGGACTCGATGATCCTTGTGGGTCCCTGCCAACTCAGGACATGCTATGATTCCATTTGGAAGTGAGAACAAGTTCAAAGGGAAACATAATTACCTTTATTCTAACACTAGTTGAAAGAGCAGCTTAACAAATCTGAAAGACAGCTCATCAGGCTTCAGAGGTGCTGCCTAGCTACCGTAATGTTGTGTCAGGTATGGGTACTGTCAGTTCACTGCCATTTTGTTCAGTGGGAAATCATTTGAATTACGTCTAAGGCAAGACCTGATGCAGCCGCCTCTCCTGCAATACAGTTTCCAATCGATGGGTGACAATAGTAGAAGCTACTGTAGCCCGCTCTAGTTATTCAGATGCGTCCCTGAAAACACAGTTCCTCAGGCGGCTGAATTTGACCTCCCATCTCGCCACCTGGGCAGTGCTACTGTGCAGGATATTACATCTAAGACAAGTTACTGTCTTCTAAAATTATTCTGTCGCACCTGCAGCAATTCAGGAAGATGAGGAGGCTCTGCTCTACTGTTGTTACCATTCTTCCATCTGTTTGCAGTTAATTTCCTGTATGTAGAAGGTGATACACAATTTAGCATGCAACTAATTATTTCCTTCCTTTTTTTTTTTTTTTTTTAACAGCTTCAGTATTTACTTGCTTAGCAATAGCACTGGGATTCTACAGGTTCTGGAAATAGATCTAAATGGAACGGCTGCATCAAATACAGATGGAGAAAAGGCCACCCCAGCAACAGCAGTTAGATGATCGTGTTTGCGCTGTAGATAACCTTGGTACCTTTTTGTTTTGATATGCTTACTGTGCACTAAAAATGTTTTCTGAATATGTAACACTAAAGATCGAAATAACTGGGGGAGAAGTAGGCAAATAGTAACGTTTCATTGTCCCCTACTGAATACTGTATTTATGTCAAAGGACTTCTTATGCTAAATCAGAAAGTGTTTCCTAATGTGCTTTAGAATTAGCTTTGTTTTCTTTTGGAATATTTTCAAAGGAACGTTCTCACTCTCAGCTCCTCTCGAAATATTAAACATTTGATATGCCCTTGAAATGGGAATACTATTCCCAAGTTACTCTTCCCAATATGGGAATACTAATGCCAGATTCCAACAGATCTACTCTGATCCAGGTAAATTAATCTGAAATATAGGATCTGGATTTTTGCCTTCAGTCTGTTCCTCTCTTTTCTGATGGATTGAAGCCTGGCCCTTTGGGTTTTTTATTTATATATAAACACACACTCCAAGGCCTTTACTAAAGAATCCTTGTTTTCCTGGAGAACTGGTTTACATAAATTTAAAATGTCATGTAGAACTAAAATGTCTCCATAAATTTTTTTTTTTTGGTAGTATCTTTTGCACTTTCCGTAACCCCAGAGGTCAACAGAATGGGAGAACTTCTCCCTTTGTCTTTGCAAGGGGAAAGGCCTCTGCTGTCAGCAGCTGTGTACAGCCCTGGGGCAGATAAGTGCTCTTAACTCCTCCCTTCAAGCAGCGCAGAGTATTTCCAATAAACCCTCACGTATGTTCTGGGCGTAGGATCTGGCTTGTAACATGGAAATACTCGGCATCTCAGTGGTGCCAGCGTGGTGGCGGTCGTCCTCCTCCGGGCTGTTGTGTAATCCCGTGGGACGCACTGACTCCCCGAGCCGCTGGTGGGGACCCCTCTGCCTTCTGCAAGGACTGGGACGTGGCGGGTGGACGCCTTCCGAAACTGAAGCAGTCACACCGTGTTGAGTACAAATGTATATGCTTGGTTTGATTCTTTTAATAAAATAATAATTTAAAAAAAAATCCTTCCTGGATTAAACTTTTAAGTAAGAGTAGGCCCTTTATGGGCTAAAGAGTATTTAGTACTGATTAGTGGCCATTTTTTTTACTGCCGTTTTATTCTGTTTACAGTTGAACCTGCTGGTATCCTGCCAGTTCTTATATTCTGTGCATTAAATTATTTATCATCTTCATTTGAGAAAATAAAATTAATTTCTTGTATTTGCTATCTGACTATCTGAGAGACTTGAATATAGACTACAGCCTGTAAACAGGCACAGTGCTATTATATTGGGAGTTGAGGCTGCTTTTTCTGTTGTCTCTGTGTTTGTCAAATAGGCGTGGGAGTGGGCAGCAGGGATCTCAGCAGGTGGCCGGCGGCCAGGTGTCTGTTGTAGCTGTTGCTGCAAATCCATCTTTGTGTAAGCTGTAACCATTTCTGAGGTTCTCTGAAAGGTCGGAAAGGACCTTTAAGATCATCGAGTCCAGCCGTTAACCTAGCACTGCCAAGCCCACCACTAAACCATGTCCCTAAGCACCACATCTACCCATCTTTTAAATACCTCCAGGGACGGGGACTCAACCACTTCCTTGGGCAGCCTGTGCCAGTGCCTGACTGCCCTTTCGGTGAAGAATTTTTTCCTAATATCCAACCTAAACCTCCCCTGGCGCAGCTTGAGGCTGTTTCCTCTTCTCCTATCACTTGTTACTTGGGAGAAGAGACCGACCCCCACCTCACTACCACCTCCTCTCAGGCAGTTGTAGAGAGCGATGAGGTCTCCCCTCAGCCTCCTCTTCTCCAGACTAAACAACCCCAGCTCCCTCAGCTGCTCCTCACCAGCCTTGTGCTCCAGACCCTTCACCAGCTTCGCTGCCCTTCTTTGGACGCAGAATGACTCGGGTTGATCTTTTGCACTGTTCCTACGTGAGAATTTAGCGCCAATGGTGATGTGGGAAATACCTCACCTCCTGCAGCTCCTCGCCACCACCATCCCCTACACCCTGAAGTGGGCTCTAGAGACTGAGTTCTCCTCTAGCTCTGAGATAAGGCTTATGCTGTTACTCAGCGGGCCTCTCCCTCAGTCTGTGCACACAAAAACAAATTGATTTTTTTTTCAGTACCTTTGAAATTCTCAGAGATACAAGTTTCCTTTGGTAACTAAGGAGAGGGCAGATCAGGATTCAAGCGCTAACAAATTAACCTTATAGTGCAAGGCTTTCTTATCAACAGCAAAACTCAAAATATGCACGAGGGCTCCAAAGGGAAAAGAATTTCACAATAGCACACAGATGAGAGAAAAATCTTTACATGTGAAGTCATGAAATGTTTTTTTAGGCATGGAGGAGAGGTCGGGATTGCTGTCTCTAACCACAACATGCCCCACAGCCTAGTGACCTCTTCAGCCCTGAGTTAGACTCGGAGGCCCGCCGCAGCAGTTTGCCTGGCACCTCGTGAAGGAGTGGCTTCCTGGCTTAGTCAGGAAGGACTTGAAGATGAAAATCAAGGGGCCTGGCACCTTGAGACCTGCAGCTGAGCAGTACTTCTAGACTCTGTATTCTGGTTCTACACTGCAGCTCCTATCTGATTGTTTCAGGAGGTAAGGTGCTTTTTTTCTTTCAGTACTACAAAATAGCCTAGGAGATGAGGATATTTTTCTCAGACCTAGGAGGGCCTATGACATTGCTGCAGTTAACTCCTGAAATGTCACCTTATAATTTGCAAAGTTGTTGCTAAACTACTGCCTGGACAGGAAGAGAAGTCTTTCTGCCTTTTTTTTTTTAATAAAAAATGCTGCTGCTGTGATTTAAAAATATTGCCTATCCCAGAGAACTAAAAAAAATACTTGGACGAAATGCAGAGAACCACAGCTCATCTGTGGAGCTGGGCTATGCAGACACTTTGTGTTGTCTAGAATATTGCCATTCTACCTCCTCGGTCTGCCTGCCCCTCCTCGGAGGTTCGTTCCTCAGCGCAGCCTCACAAACACTCCTCCCGGGCTGGAGGCCGGTTTCTTCTTTACTTTCTTTTTCTCTTCGCAAGACTTGGAGATGGTCTCAGCTTCCTGAAACAGAGGACATTGCAGCCATTAAATAGCAATCACTTAAACCTGCTGCCTCCTAAGACAGGATTTAAAAATCCATGGCTTTGAGTAACCACAGAATTGTGTGTTCAGACTGACGCCGAGGGTGTGGGATGCCAGCCACAGCAGGGCAGGGTTTGAAGGCCCCCTGGTTGTAGCAGTCACTCAGCGCGGAAGTTTTTGAAAACAAACCTGCCTCGATAGAAGCTGTCTCCAGTCCCAGCTAGTTACCCTAATGCCCCACTGGACTTTTTCAGACTGCTGCTGGTAAAAAGCCTGACTACAGCTGCTCTTCCACCCTAGAAATGGGGCACTCTGTGCCACAGGTGTCCTGGATTTTTAAACCTGCCAGGGCAGTAGAATGGGCAATGTCTTAGAGTGAGCTGTGGAAGCAGAAAGCGGCTTTTCTTTCAAAGGTGGAGGCACCTGGCTGGCCTGAGGGTCTCAGCAGCATGGAAATGATCGGTCCCAAGGATACAGCGGGAAACAAACAACTGTCGGAGCATGGCAGCGTGTATATGGTGGCAGGGAAAGCTGGCACAGGCTAAAAGACAGGGAAAAAAGGTGCAGGCAGGCAGGAAAGGCTCAGAAACAATCCTGCAAGGGAGGGCAGGAGGAAGAAAGCAGGGAAGGGGGGAGATGGGAAGAACTGCGCAATGTGGTTGTGCCAGACCACACGGCGTTGCTCAGGCACGCGCAGGCATGGCTGAACGTCAGCTGGAAAGCTGGCACGCTGCACAGGTGTGTGACGCAGGCACCGCAGCGATCCAAGGGCCTCGTTGCTTTGAGCTGCAGCAATCGAATGCCACCTGGCCGCGCTGCACACGCAGCCATGCCACGCTACCCTGCGATCAGATGACAGCAACAGAAGGACTAAAATTCTTGGGATGCAAATTCCTCTGTCCTTCTCCAAGGATGTGCAGTGCGGCGCAGTCCACAGCTCCTGCTCCCAGCTGCCTGGGGGTGGCATCACCTCTGCTCTCAAGGGGCCTGAAATGCCCTAGACATTTCAGTGGCACAGCTTAAATGTTAACAAAATTGAGCTCTAAATGCTTGTTTCCCGCTCAGAGCATTCTTCCCCATCACGCTCAGAAAAGGACTGTTACCTAGTAGGGACACTCCAGGCACCTGGGCCTTATTCAAACCTGGTTGAAGAAGGTGGTAACGTTACCTGGTTTATCCAGCAAACCAACTTGGCCTCCAAGAAATATGTAAATGTTTCATGTGAAGCACAGGCCAGCTCCTCCCTCCTCCATGATGGCCCTCATAATCGGCTTATGAAGGTTTTTGCTCTCACTCACTCCCTCTGGACCAATGAATATTGAATTACAGTGGTCACGCTGCACAGCTCGAGCAGGAGAATGAATATGGCTCCATCTCAGAAGAGCAGACATCGTGCCGGTTAGAGCATCCCCCTGCCATGGGTCTTCCGGGCTCCTCTAGGCAGAGGAAGGAGCTAAACCCAAGTCACCCACGTTGTCAGCGACTCGCGTCCTCGCCTGGTTATAGCAGGGCCCTGTGAACGGCTCTGCAGTCAAGGCAGTGCAATGGTCAAGGCGGTTAAGCGAAGCATCAAGAACAGCAACAGACAGCCCAGGCGGGGAGCGCCCTGAGCCTTCTGCACTGGCTGTACCCTTGGCAGAACCAGCAGCGTTAGTGCGCACCAGCTCCCACAACCCGCCGCAGGGGGAACTTGATGCCTCACCCACAGCTGCCGATGGACTGGATGGCAAAGATCTGAAAAACGGGGTCTTCACTGTCACATCAGTTTGTGGGAGTGACGTAGCAGGGAAAGGTCTGAAATGCTAGCTCTCTTGTCCCCAAACTTAGCATGTGAACTTCTGATCTATCCGCAAGATTGGATTTTAAAAAAAGCTACAGTTTTTCTGTCTTTGCCTGCTAAGCCAACCTATAGCTCATATCTGCACCTTCTTTGCTGTCAGCGGGCTTGATAATGAAGATGATAGCAGATGACACACAAGAACGCTCCCTGAAATCAACCACTGCACACAGCAATACGGTCCTGTACTCCAGTACTCCACCAACTCACTGCCTAGTCTGGTGCAAAAGGGAAAAAAAACAAACGAGTTCCGAAGCAAAAGAAATATCCTACAACATGTGCTGCAATTGCTACAAACCATGGCAGCGAGGGGTGAGGGGCTGACACATCAGCTTGATACCCGATGTGAGCAGCCAGAAAGGCGGCCTGGTTAGAAGGGGAAAATTACTGAAGAGAAGAAACTGCCTGCTGAAAAATACCGACAGCGAATACGTCTGCCAGCCTGGGAACCGTGAGGCTGGGAACCAGAAACATGCTTGAAAAGTGCAGCTGGCCTCTTTGAAGTACAGCTGTGGTACCTAAAAACCAGAAGGATCCTTGGGATACCACCACTAAGCGCAAGAACAAGGAACTGTAAAGGTAACTTATTGTCTGAAAAGGTGGAAAATAGTCTGGAAAAATAAAAAATGGTCTGATTGATAGAACAGAAACCTCATCATCTATTGGCTGTTACATGTGAAAAGTAGAAAAATAGAAATAGAAACATCAGCATCTACTGGCTGCTTGCAGTGGTGGTGTCCTCCACTCTCTTGTGTCTCTATGATCTAAAAAGGGCTTAATTTTTAATCCAAAATAGAGCCTCTCTCTCTGAGAACTTCCCGTGCTGCACATACTTTTCCTTTCCTAAACAGGCTGAATTCTCTGCACGAACTTTCTATGAGATCTTGGACTCCCACCAGGGATGCCTGGCTGACTCGACTCTGTGACGTGGATCATCTTTGAAGTGAGACTTTTATTATCTTGGTCTCTCTCTGGGCCCACTTCTGGGGTTCAGTCTGTCCTCCCCTCTTTTGGGGATGACTGGGTCCCCCCTCTGAGATCAGTTTGTCCTCCCCTCTGGGATGGTTTGGCCCTCCTGAAATCAGTCTAATTCACTTCATACCGCTATGATATATCCCTGTAGGTAATCAGTCATAAGTGTATCAGCTGCTACATTGCTGATAAGTTTGCTTCACTAATGCCAAGTTTGTAGTAACCTGTAATAGTATATACCTACTTAGTTATTGCTATCCTATTGATTGTTGCTTTATTATTGATTGCTACCATACTATGGATAGTTACTATATTATTGATTGCTAATAGTATTTTGTAATAGCTTGAGATACATATATTTATATTCACTTTACTAATCATAGGTGTACTTGCTAGCGGTCATCTTGTGGTATTGTGGTAATCTATAAGAAAGTAGAGGAATGTAGAGGATCAAAGCCTGTGTCCTTGTGTATCATGGAATCCTACAGACCCACAGTTGCGATCTCTGCACACCCGCAGGCCAGGTAACCCTTTTGGTGGTGACAGCACCTCTCCCGAAGCACCGGTCCGGTCTCAGATACCAGCTGCCAGCCAAGATGAACTGTCAGCCACTGCATACACAGCATGGAAGTACTCAGGGATCAGCCCACTCCCTGTTGTTAATATCAAGACGAAGAATACCGGTGCTTCTCTGCCAGGGTACAAAGAGAAACTGATATCCTTGCACAGCAGAGACGCTGTCAGGACACGACAAAGGCTACTGCTCACCTCAGTGTCCCAAGCTAAAAGCTGCTAGCACATGTACTCCAGCATTTCCTAGCACCATGCCTGGGAATCTCAGTGAGAACACGCACAAGCAAGGGGAGCAGCCTCCGTCCCGCGCGCTGGGGGAGTTCGTGTGGCACTCACCGGGGGGAGAGCAGGGGGGACGTGGGTTTTCTCCAGGCACTCTCTGAGGTGGCTTATCTCAGCACGGTAGTCATCCAGCTGGCTCTCCAGCTTCTCCCGCCTGACTCGCTCATATTCCAGCTGGGCCTCCAGCTCCCTCACCGCCCTGCCAAAAGCAAAGGAGACGAGCAGAGCATGAAATGCATCCAAACCTGCCCTGGCTACTCCACATGGTCCTGTGCCTTTGCTAAGGAACAGGTTAGTCGCAGCAGAACGCGGTGCGATACTCCTCACACCAACTGTGCTGGTGTGAGCTACAGCGTGCTCCTGGCTCAAGACTCTTTGTAACAGCTCTAAACAACTGTGTTTCCTTCTTCGCTGTCAGCTGTGCTCGGCGCAATCCGACCACGAGATGGAGACGTCTTCCCGCACACTGAGCCAGACGCTAGGCTCTCGGGTAGGCTGTGACCCACGGCCACCTCCAGCTGCGGAAGAGGGAGAAGTGCCCAAGGAGCAAAAAGGTTAGTATGAAACAGAGAAAAAGCATAAAACTGGGATTATGGAGGGGTCAGGAGCAGCTTTTTCGTTTATGTCTGATGCCTCTACATCCTTCCTATTGATTGGCTTAGCCACAGATGAGAAATACTCATAGGACAGCTTGCATGACACTTACTAAGGGGAAACTGAAGCACTGGCTGATACACAGTTGCACAAGATCTCATCGGTCACACCCACAATGGCTCCTAAATTGAGATTCCTGGAACTGGTTAGCTGAGACATAATTCACATATATTCTTATTGTAACAGCAATTGACCTCAGCAACTGAGTCATCTGGAGTTGAGCTGGCTCTCCTCTGTATCAGGATGAATTAGCACAGCTACAAAGATGTAAGATTGGTAAAAGGGAAAGCGAGGCGTCTGCCCTGCGGAGTCAAACAGCAGGGCAGGAAAGCTCTCAGCAAGAGGTACCGCATTTCCCAGACTGAAGTATTCCTGAGTCATGCAGCCCAAAGCTACCAGGTAGTTTCAGCCTTACTGGCACTGTAAGAACGGTCCGTGTTTATGCCGGGAAATCAGGGCTCAGGGGGGAAAGGATGACTTCTTGCACGCTTCAGATTAATGAGACACAGCTCTAAAACTGTGCGGCAAACACACGGTGGCAATTTTTTCCGTGCAATGCAGCCTGGTCAAAGCACTGCGTAGTGGTTCACATGGACTGAAGCAGAAATGTTCAAAATCTGCTACAGTAGCCTTCCCAAGTGGCCACTCCTGCTTTTCATCTAGCAAAATGGTGTTGTCATTAAATATTTTTAAATAATGAGGGTTTCTGGCATATGATACAAGCATCTTGGAGTTTATCCACAGGGAGGTACCCTGACAAGGGTAGGTAGGTACACTGAGAAGCGGTATTTCCATTTCAAAAGGCCAGTGTGGAGCCAGGGATTCTCTCTGGCCTCCACAGATGAGAGAGGTCCTTCAGAGATCCTCACAATTTCTCTAGTTTAGCTGCACACACTACAGAAAGCAAAATCCCTTAAAGAGCTTTATGAGAGCCCTCTAATAGACACTGCCAGCTTTTGAGTAGCTGCTCTATCCAAAATGAACTCTAATTTCTGCCATTAGTCAGCAGTGACTTTTTTATCATTGCAGATTGCTCTGGCCTTCCAATGTAGGCATCAACATCTGAGCTGGTCACCCTCCTCCTTTAAAGCCAGGAGAGACACTCCTAGAAGTGATGAATCTCATCCTGAAGTACAGGTCTAATTATGCCCTGGAAGTGCCTACATCTCTCCCAGAAGTCTAAAAAGGAGCTGAAGGTAACTAACTCGGATGCAGACAGCTACATCGCAGACATACCAAGGTAAGGAAGATGGACCTTCAGCCTGGGCTGAGTCAAAGGGTGACCCGGAACCAAAAGAAATCTTGACTTCTGTTTCTTGGCTTATATATGGTTGTAAGATGAACTACTTAATTCCAGCCTGTAACACCTATTACCTGCTCCAGATCTACACAAACTGGTAAGTCTGCTGTCTTCTTGATGGCATACAAGCCCTCTGGATACAGTCTCCTCTCAGCGAACAAATAAAGACAGTGGTTTGGGGTGGCCGAAACACCTAATGGATGTGGTTATCCCAAGAGACTGACAACAGTGGGTAGCCAAATCTTTGACAGGTAGAGGTGGAGACAGGGCTGTCTTTTGGATGCTGCATTATTGTTTAAGCTCTAAATCTTTGATAGACAGAAGGGCTTTTCTTGGAACTTAGACAGTCTGCTCATCAAATCACCTGACCAATCTAACAGAACCCTTTCATTTAATGGAGACCCTGAGAATTAGACAGACATTATGAAAAGTGCTTCATGTGCAAGGGCAGGTTTGCTGAGATTTCTTTTTTCTGTGGTCTGGATATGAGCTAATGCTTTCTTGAGCACAGAAATATATTGCCCTAGACACAGAAACGTAGCAGGTCATTGAATAATTTCTGCTGTGTATGCACTTCCATGCAATCCATGCTAAGACTAATGGGTTCTTTTCAGATTTATTAAAGTGCATACATGTATTTGGCATCCTCAATGCAAACAAAACAGCCAGGACTTATCAGAGCTACTGCACATACGCTGCAGGAAAACCTGAAGGCTGAACAGAATCTTGCACAAGAAGTGTGGACCCATCAAGCACTTGTGTTGTGCTGTGGAGCTGATCCTGGTGGTAGAAGTCTAGAAATGGTCAGACAAATTGCTGAAGTCTCTTTCTTTTTGTCCTAGTTAAAGCTGGTAAGTGGAAAGGGCAGAATGGCCAAAACAACTTGAGTGCAAGTTAGACTTCAAGAAGGCTTTAAAATGGGCCTCACAGAGTTAAACATTAGCAGGGAAAGGTAACCTTACTTCTCAACTTTCCTTTCTTCTTTTTTCATCTTCTTCTCCTCTTCCGTTATTCCTCCCAGCTGTCTGTAGTTGCTGTAGGCAATTTCTAGAAGCTGCTGAAGTTCTTCAATCTTGCGATAGGCCCTTACTGTAAGACAGAGTTCTTCGGGTAGGTAAAATGCACGGAGAAGACAGTCATGCTGGAATCAGTCTGGAAAATCGTCTCACAAACACAGACCAGAAATCACACTGCTCAGCAAATGCTGAGCTACACCTGACACCCACACAGCAGACATCTCAAAAACAAGCAGCAATCCAATATGGTTTCACCAACACAGATTAAAACAGCGTAACAATTATGTTCTGATGGCTCTCTGCTATGCTTTCTAATTTTCCACGATTTGTTTGAATGCTCAGTGGTACAGATACTGTCAACTGTCTCATCTTACAACAAAAAAGTCACAGCAGTTGGCAGAAACTGTGCAACTAAGACTATAATGCCTTGAGACCAACCTTTTCAAATAAGGAGTGAGAGAAAGACAGTGCTTACTGCGTGCATTCCTCTTCTCTGCTTTATCCAGGGTTAAATCTTCTTTGCTATCTGTACTCCCTTCCACACCATGCCTTTCAAAAAACTTTATGTTGTTTGCATCTAGTTCTTCATCACTAGAGTTACTGTCTCCACTTCTTTGTGTCAAAAGTTCCACAGCTGCCAGTTGGGCAAATCTGCACAGAGAACAGTTAACCTACACTGAAATATCCCCGTCATCAGGAAAAATGCAGCCATGCTCCCTGCATGTGATAGAAACTCTCTGAAACTCTTCATGTTCCCATTTATCAGAGAGGGTTTCAGGATTCAAGGAAGCACTGGTACACAAACTATGGGCAGCTAATCTGCTTTTTGTAGTATTCTGATGGCATGAGCTCTGCCTCAATGAAATCTTACGACAACGACTCCCACGTCAGAGGTATCTTTTCCTTTGCAGGTTTTCTTAATTGAATCTCATCAGAAACCATATTATTTTTATTAGCGCAAAAATCAGCTGGCCTTCGCTAGTTCTCATTTACTTTGTACAGCTGGAGCATACTTTCCTTTTGCAGATCAGCTAGTTTTCATCTTTCGTGTCTGACCTTGCTAAAAGAAAAAAATTAAATTAAGTGAAAATTAAAGCCTTTTATAGCTACAGTACAGCTTTGCTTATCACTCAGAGTTGGAATTCATGGGCCTGATCTGTTCTTGCTCCATCACTGAAAATCAGGATTAATTCCAAGAAAGCTGACGTGATATTGATATATAAATAGTAAGCAAATAAATGACAGAGCTACAGGATATGTACTGCTACCTTTTGGCTACATCCTTCGGAGTCTCTCCAGCATCATTCGTAATGTCACAGTCAGCTCCCATTTCAATCAACCACTGTAAGCAATGGATATGCCCCTGTCCAGCAGCTAAGGGAAGGAAGGTGCACACAAGTCAGTTACGTACAACGGAAGTGTTTCAAACCTAAAATGTCCCCGTCTCGTCATTATTTGACATGCTAGAGGTTGGGTTCACTAACACACCACAGGGGAGATACTGTTTCAAGAGAAGCCTATATTTCAAGATGTTCAAGTCACATGGGTACACGCAGTTTTGAGGAAGATCATGCAATGTGGTTTTGTGTCTCTTGCTAGTTCCAGAAGTTTACTGGCAGCTCTGCCTGGACACAAGTTAAGCGAAACTTGCCCAGTTTCACGTGCTGAGCATGAGACACACAAGTAACACTGCCTCACGCTCTCTTGCAGTAAGGCCTATATGTCACAGATTTGCAGCAAAGCAGTGTCACCTCTCTCCAACTGTGGGCTCCCGTACATCAGACACAGCTGGCTGCCCCAATCTGTGCTGTGTGGTGCTGTGTCATGGAGAAGGAGAGAAGCCAGGGCTTTGTGCTGGAGCTATAGGAATATCATTTCTTGGGCCAGGCACTCAAGGCAACGCTTCTCAGCTGCAGCCTAACACAACAGCTTTGCCTGCTCATGTGATCTGGCACGGCTACTGCTCATACTGTGTGGTGCCAGGAATGATGTCTCACATATGGAAGATGGTATTTGGCGTGTCTAGCTGAAACCTGTAAGCTGTTTTTCTCAAGGAAGAATAAATCCATTTCTTGACAGCACCCCCTTTGGATGTATGCCATTTTTGTTTTCTTACTGAGATGATAAAGAAATGAAATTACAATCAGACATATAGTATTTCCCCATAACACCAACATTGCATGCAAAGATTGGGGATGAAACAATTGTAGGTTAGCACCATTCCAAGAAAAGAGGGTGGGAAAGAATGTAGAAAACACTTTTAGAATCAATACATATCAATTTTCATACTGAGAACTTTAATTATGCTTTAAAAAATTCTACCTTTTATATCTATTCAAAAAGAAATGTGGGAAATGGTGTTAAAAGCATATGACAAGAATACGTCCCTCCTTTCTTCCTCTCTTATTCTCTCAGACATTACTATGAAACCCTCAAACACAAAAGGACCATTTTTCTGTAATGCTAGCATTCTGCTACATATCAAGGTGTCAGATACCAGAAGATTACCTTCTTTCACAGTGTACTACTAAGTGACTTTGTTGTGTTTTTTACAACACATCTCTACAGCACTGGTATGTTCAGTAAATAAAGGCTCAGGCCACAATACAGATCATTCTTAAATCTAGCTAGCCAATGTTTCTAAAAGTCACATCTTGCCTGATAAAAAGAACTATTTAGTTTTCAGCTTAGATGTTGTTTTCTCTTTAATATAAACTCTTCTTTCTTGACTTCAGCTTCATTTTGTTTTTACAGTGACACCTATGCACACACACATCACAAAATATGTTTTTCAGGGTTGCCCTTTCAAGCCCTCAGGAAATGAGATGCTGTTTTTCATGAAGTTTATCTGATAAGCAGCCACTTGAAAAACTTAAGTAAACACATCAGCAACAAACAGTAACAAGCTGAAACACAGACCATAATTACTGACCTTTGTGCATGAGAGTGGATCCCTTATCATCCCGCTCATTAATATTGATTACTCCACTTCTCACTAATCTTCTAAGCACTAACAAGTCCCCTTTGAAAGCAGCGCCATGGGCTGGGAAAGCTAAAACTGAAAATGAAATGCACGTTTCCCAACAGATGCCAGCAATTCCACTAAACATGCTCATATCTGTCTCTCACTGCTTGCCTCTCTCATAGCAACTTATGCAAGGGCACTTCATAGCTGTAGTTAGCCAGGTTAAGGCAGCTGCATAACTAGCACTGTTCATCACAGACTTGATTAAACATGTCTTGGTTACGGCTACAGGCATCTTACACGGTTAAGGGATTAATTTCATAAACCTGAAATAACAAGTATACCTTTGTTTTACGGTTGATGTTGTATTACTGGTGGTAACCGGAGTCATTTGTGTATTTTGAATTTCATAGTCTAACCAAATATATAAACTATTTTACTTCTTGCTTAAAAACTACCCATACAGACAATTTGATTTTTCTTGTTATTTTTTATAGACGGGGAGTACTGACATATATACATATAACGACAAAAGACCAGCAGATAAGGACAGTAAATGCCCGGAAAAAGTAGAGAGGTGAAGGTGCAGTACTCATATCCTTGCTCTGCTGAGAGTTCTCCTTACAGACCTTGCCACACTTGCATCCTTTGGCTGTTCTGGCTGCAGTAATATTGCTGGTTAGCAAGTAACCTTAATTTGAGTGGGATATTTCCATGTTAAGTTGCTGTTCGTTGCAAGTAGGGGATTCTGAGCAGGCACATCTGAAAACTCATGAAAATTATACAGCTTGTCTGCATGTCTACTAGAGTCTAAGAACTTGGGTAACTTGGTATTCATACTGCAACATAGTGTGACATGTTTTATTTCGATAACAGGTAAACCTAAGACATTTATAAAATCACATTGAGTATCCCAGTCTTAGCTATCAGTAAGTGTAGTAAGTATTGAAAGGATCAGCTCTTCCTTATATTGATAATTTAAATGTTATACTTCTGCTCATGCAAGTTTTCAGAATCAAGCACTTCTATAGAATTACAATGCCTATTTTAACAGTATCTTGACCCATACTCACCTTCCCGTGTCTCTGGATGCTCCTCCTCTTTTTCCACACTGTCAATATATTGCAGAATATTATCTTTATAGAACCGTTCAGCCAAGTCCCTTGGAGTCTCTCCTTGGTCATTCCTGGCTTTCAGTGTGTGCGTGACACTGGCCATTTTACTGACCAAGAACTTAAAGCAATGCAAGTGTCCCTCCATTGCTGCCAGATGAGCTATAGAACAAGGCGAAACAAAGTACATTAGAGCAGAGCACTGCTGCCCACCAAGAAAGCAGTGTTCTCACCACTAGTTAAATCCAGCTCATCTACCAGCACCTGAGCCATCCAACATGGCACAACAAGTGGGAGCAGCCTCAGTTGGATAGGGAATGCTCAGCTCCTATCCAGGACAGAGTTCAGCTCTATGCGAAGGAGGTGAAAGAGTCAAGGATAGGATCTGCAAAGGAGATTCCCTGGCAGAGGTGATTGCAGGAGACATGACAGTGCCAAGAGACCTTTGAGCACTGGCTAGGAGAGTGTGCCACTGGGGTCTCATCTTCCTCACGAACACAAATCTCACTCCTCGGCAGCTGTCTGACTTCGCTGTCCGAAGGATACTCATTACAGATGGCCAGCAAGGGGTGTCCTTGATTAGGAGTTGAGGCCATTTCTGCTTTAGTCCCACCTCTACTGTGTCACCACAAACAAGTTTTGTCACACCTCTGCATCTCAGTTATCCCACCTATAAAATGAGGACAGTGACATTCACTTTACTGGGTAAAGTATTTGCAGGTACATCCCATGACAGAGGCTTCTATTCACAGTACTTGTGTCACACATTTCCTTCCTTCAACTGTTGTAGACAGTCGCTGTGTGCAGGACCTGCTCCACCTCACCACAGCAGTGACTGCTTCCCTGTGGGGGTCAAGCGTTTCCTCCCCTGTCCTTTAGGCTATGCTGAGGTTTACTTATTTAATAATACAAGAGTGCTGGGCCTATAACAAAGTAAGAGGTACAAAACACATGCTCATTATTTCGAAATTATTAGTATTCTCTAGTTCCATTAATGGGAAGAAGTTGCCAAATAAATGCTTATTATGTGTCACCACTCCATGAAAATACTCTGTAAAAGTTGGCTGATGTTCTACAGGCAGAAGGATTAGTTTGTCTCCAGGTAAGAATCTCATTATCTTCACAGTTAATAAACAATGTACCCAGGACCAAAAAAACCCATGTCACTTAAGTTAATTCTTGGCACATGCAAGTTCTCTATTGCAAACCATCCACAGCTTTCCAGAGTGTAATTGCTCTAAAAGGTGATGGATATTGGTTTTATGGCAAGACGACAATACTTAGGTACAGATGACTGCTAAAATTTAACACGACAAAATCTGAGCTACACTGAAATCAGGGCAGTTTTTCCCATTGTCTTAATTTATTCAGTGAGCTAGTTACTCAGGGAGAAGTGAAAAGAAGAGGCACCCTCTTAGAAGTAAGGACTGATTACTAGTCAGCTGGTGAAAAACTGACCCAATTCTTATTAATCCACTTTCAGATACCTAAAATCTCAGGGATAAAACTTCACCTTTTGGGATGAAACCTTTTTTTTTTTTTTTTTTAATCAGATGTCTGTCCTGTGCAGAAAGCGGTCAGAAAGGCTCAACGTTTTCTGCAAAGATCGCAAGGGGAAAATACATTAAAGAGCTGTTTTCTGTCCATGTCACAGTTTCAGC